AAAGAATGGCCCTCATTCTTATCGAATTATGGTTCACAGTATAAACCACAGCTATATACGGCACGGTTCAGTGCCCTTCACTCCGCAAACATGCCTTTGGTCAGTTGGAAAAAACACTGGCTGGATTGTATTGAGCTCTCGCGAAACATTTATGAATTCGTTGTTTATATTCCACTCATAGTGGTTGCCTGTTTATACATCGGGTCAGTGTTGTTGGTTGTTTAATACCACCCAGCAATATCCTAGCTTTATGAAGGTGATCTGTACATACTGGAATCAGGACTTGACAATCCAATGATTGACATCATGAGCATCCATCTATGCAGTTAGAATACGGTGACATATATACATCAACCAAGTCAGCGATCCTGTAAGCACGCTGGTGAAGACCTATACTAATTCGGAGCAAATCGTTAACATATAGTATTTTAGGATCATTCGTCCAAAGCGCCAGATACCTGTGATCGTATCTCGGATCGCTCAGATTAGGTTACTAGGTTTGCCAGCACCATGCCTTGATTCGTGGATTTCACCAGTATGGTGAACGTTTAATATCTTCATCACTTTGTTCTTTCCTCAAACACAATGCTGACACGCCGTAATGAGACTGTGACACTGCTTAAAGCGGCGTTACATAAGGGTTTATAAGTGCAGTATTTCCATTGGTAGTTAATTATTTTCCATAATATCAGATTTGGTACTGGATTTATGAAGGTATTTGCATGGAATTTCACAGTGCCAAATACAACGATCAAATCAGACAAACAAGCAAAGACTACTACTGATTATTTCAAGGATATATTTTGATATTCACACAGGAATGGCCAGTCGGACGAGGCATGTTCATCATGACTGTCACCTTCACACTGCCAGCCGCTTCAACTGCTGTCAGTAGGTCACTGAGAGCCCACATGGGAACGCACACAGGCACATACAGACTCACAATCGCTGACACACACTACAGATCCGTTGCCTACACTTACAGAGGAAGTCAAGGTAATCAGGATACTAGATCATCACGCACGCGCGCACACACACACGCACACAGACAGACAGACAGACAGACAGACTGATCGAGACCCACACAGCACAATAGAGATTACTTATCCCCAATCGCAGCGAGGGCCAGAAAACTGAGCTACACACTTAGGGTATCTGCCTTTGACTTCTCCAACTGCTTGGTATTAAAAATATGATTTTCTCTTGATAAAAAGTTGCTGTCAGTTAGCGTCCGAAATTTATTTAAATGTAAAGCAAAATGTGGCATTAGAAATCCCAAAGCCGCACAAATGGAAAATCCTATTGTATTGCAACACTTAAGAAAGGTAAAATACTTTGTGGATGACAACTTATATATTTAATTATGATTCGACGGGTCGATATAGGTTCTTAAGCCGTTGTCAAGCAAGAGTGAATTACTACAGCACAGAACAGATTTATATATGTATATACATACTTATTAAACAAGGATTCAGTAAAACAACATCGAAGGTATGCATAAAAGGGATTAACAACAACAACAGCTGCAATAATGGATATTGGGTTTTTTAAAGTCTGTTTAGTTTGAAGTTATGAAATATATCACATAAAGAATCCATATTTGTCCTGATTTGTAACAGTTATAAACATGAAATGCAACGTTAAAGACTCTGCTTAGAGTCAAGTAAATCCAAACTCGAATCCAATTTGTCAAAACATATATCACATACTTTCATCGAATGTTGTATGAAATGCTCAGTGACTGATGTTTCATAAACAGAGTGTGTTAGTGTGACACGCAGAGAAAAGATATTAAAGTAGATGGGATTAGGTGAGGTGAGGTGAAATTGGGTTTTACGTCGTGCTTGAGAATATTTCGCTCAGATGACGACGTGCATGCGTGTGTATGTGTATGTGCGGCTGCTTGTACTAGCCCAGACTGAATCTGGTTTTATAGTGCTAGCCCAGTGAGATACCATGCCGCAGTGAAGCATGAATACCCCACACAGACACATTATACTGACTCCGAGCCGACCAGTCCTTGTTGTACCCATTAATGCCGAGCGCCAGGCAGGGACCAACAAGTACCATATTTTAACGCCTTTTGGTATGACGCAGTCGGGGATTGAACCCGCGACCTTCCGCTGTCTGGGCGGACGCTCTAACCACTACACCACGGAGGCGGTCAGATGGGATTAGGAACAGTTTTAGAGTAGATTTACATGACGAATAAGATATTTTTAGCGAGACAGCAATGTTCTTCCACGAATACACGTTCACAGTTTAGTACATTTAGGAAGTGATTTGAATTAACTAACAGTAAGACCTTAGACCCCAGCCCCACCCTACGCGTCGTTAAAAACATCCAACAATACAAACAATCCTCAAAAATAATCAACCGATGTTGATGACGAAGTGGTCCTCTTTTGTGTCATCCTCCACACAGCCTCTTGCACTTGTACTGGTGCACATGTTAGTGACTACTGAGAGAAGGTAGCCCAGTCAGTTAATCTGAATGTTTTCTGTTTTTGTTCTAGAAAAACGAGACAAATTATTTTCGTACAATATGTGTCTCAGATGGAAATTCCAGCCCAGGAGAATGAAATGATTTTAACTGTGTTTTCTAAAAGTGCGAATACTGGTGCATACATGCAGTGTTTGCACCTCGAGCTGAAAGAGAGAGCGGGTGGCTTAACCGTAGCAGTTATGCATCCCTTAGGCGATGTGATGTGTGAAGGTGGGTTCGAATCCAAATTTCAAACTGATCACGACTTATAGTACAATAATCGTATTTGTACATTTTCGTACAAGAAAATGTCTATGATTCACATCACTTCAAGCACAACTTTTTCACGTCAAGCTGACACGCCTTGATGTAATGGCTAACACTCTTATAAGTGGCGTTAAACCAAACACATTAGCTCGAAGCTGTAAAGAATCACATGACATTAGACTTTTATTGATGAATTATTTATTTCTGCCTCTAGTAACATATCTATACATAATCAAGTGCTGATCTATTGCTTTTTCAATATTATCTTTGAAATGACTAAAGATATTATCTGACAATTAATGATGATGAAGTATCTTACCATGACCGTACACATATATTTTAACATTCTGCATATGTTTATAACATAATGCACCACAGCTTAGATAAAACTTTACACCACCGTCAACAGCCCACAATGTTTTCTAAATAGACATTTCTACCAACCAAAGACAATAACCCATAATATTGAATCCCTATAATCCAAATCAATAAAGACAACTAACAAGTATGAAAGCTATGGATCACATCCAACTAAAACACCAACTCTATGTATAAAACCAACATACAACCATGAATCATATCCCACAAAGATACCAAATATATGTATAAAACCAACATACAACCATGAATCATATCCCACAAAGATACCAAATATATGTATAAAACCAATATACAACCATGAATCATATCCCACAAAGATACCAAATATATGTATAAAACCAATATACAACCATGAATCATATCCCACAAAGATACCAAATATATGTATAAAACCAATATGCAACCATGAATCATATCCCACAAAGATACCAAATATATGTATAAAACCAATATACAACCATGAATCACATCCCACAAAGATTCCAAACATGTGTATAACACCAATATATAGCCATGAATCACATCCCACAAAGATACCAAACATATGTATAAAACCAATATACAACCATGAATCATATCCCACAAAGATACCAAACATATGTATAAAACCAATATACAACCATGAATCATATCCCACAAAGATTCCAAACATGTGTATAACACCAATATATAGCCATGAATCACATCCCACAAAGATCTAAGATATATGTGTAAAACCAATATTTGACCATGAATCTAACTCCACAAAGATACTAAACATACGGTTAAAACATATATAAAACCATGAATGACGTTCCTCCAAACTCTCAAATATTTGTATAAAATCAATAAAAACCATAAATCACATTCCACCCAACTGCCAAACATGTGTATAAAACCAATAAACAAACAAGAATTACATGCTACAAAGATACCAAACATGTGTTCAATATAGAACGTCAATGCAAAGGAAGACACAGTCTTGACTATCCTCAGAAACAAATTCCGTTTGATGTAAAGGGAAAAATAGTTGGGAAAATTATAAAAATGGGTCAGAGAAAATCAGTAATGACACCAAATATTAAACCAATATAAAACCATCAATCACATCCCACAAAAGATACAAGTATTTCCGCCACCGATATTATTAGTTACACGGTGTTTTGAAAGGGTGTACTTATCTTTAAGCAACAACATTCAACCTTCGGCTGAATGAGACACAAAACATTTCGCTATGATATTTCCTGAACGGTCATAAAGGGAGATGATAAAAAATGATCGAATTTGAGGTTTTGTTAAACGACAAGTGTAATACAGAAACATTTTTTTTGGGGGGGGATATATTTATTGACACAAACAAATAAGAAATTATGGTAACAATTTTTACTCTGCTTATACTAATAATTGTATACGCCAACTCTAAAATTTGGAAGCGATCAGCCGTTTAGCAGCCACATTCCATCTAAGGTCAAGGTCATTCGTACAACCCGTGTAGTGTGTCACGTGACAGTTCTGACGGGGATTCGTACACTCTGGCAAATCCGCCTACATGGTTTCGTATGCTTTAGCTATTGACCAATCAGAATTCGACAAAATTACCTTAAGGGTAATAAATCCCGATGTGCTACCACGAGAAACATCTCCAAATATGCCATATCAAGTAAATGCATAATAACAATGTTTATCATGTAAAATACGAGTGCTCCATCCTAAACTTGTATGTACACTTTTGTACATTTCCAGCCAGGACATCAATGTTAACTTCGTGTTTTCACTTCTAATGCAAAATGCTTCTAATACAAAATACACCGCTAAGTTTGGGCAGGGAAGTATTGACCGCGCTAGTCGTTCATAAGCTTAACAAGATGTTTCCTAGCTCAAAGAGACAGCTGGGTATACCTCCCCTGTTGACATTGCTTCTTGGAAAATTGGAGTCTTAATGTGTATAATAAGACTTGTCGTTAGTTTCTTTCATATTCGACCTTCGCCTTCGTCTGGTGATGATGAGGCCCAAGAAGATGGCAATGACGGCAACAGCGATGGCGACGCAGCCAATGCCAACCACGGCTGGAACCATCCATGTTCTGGAACCACCAGTGCTGATCTCTCCTTTCACGACTGTAGGGATGTAATAACATGACATGTTAGGGACACCACAAATTGAAGTGTTCTATTTTATCGATGCCTCTTATCCAGCTATGACAGATAAAGTTAGCGAGATAGCTGGAACGGTCAAATTGATTGTTATGTTTCCATCCCAGTGTTATTACTCCTGTTTGTATGTTCTGCTAATTACCCCATGGGTGGCTACTCTGTAGAAGACTGAATATCGGCCATGTGGAATTTGTTAGGGAAATACTATTTCATTCAAAAGTGAACTTTAAAAATAAGAGGGCTAAAGGAAATGTCAACCGTCTAACGTTTGGTTCGACTGGGTCCTTTTAGAGTTAAAAAAACATATTAAAGGAGTCAACAGACTACATCCAAGAAGATTGTGAAGTATATTGGTGTTGTTCAAGGGAACAGTCAGCACTATGGGCCACGCTGACAATCGATATAAGCACTTAGACGATTGTTAATATTGTACTCACTGATTCCAATGAAGATTGGTTAGAGTTAGTTGAAGTGGGCGTGATGCTCTGTTCAAGGTTGGAGTTCTCAGTTATATCGCATAGAATTACCTGTTTGGGCGCCATTTTCTTCAATAGTGACTTTGAAAGTTCTTGACACGGTGAGATCTCCTTCTTCAGCCTGTCGTTTCCTTCGGCCACTACACACCGGCTGAAATTTGAAGCGGAATGTGACTTGGTGAATGATCAGTTCACGAAAGGTTTTGGACAAAGTTACACTTCATATTACGCATGACTGTTGATAATGTTGACATATTGATAATCAACGTTGATATGACTCCTCAGCAGAATCACTTAACACCAAATAATGACAAGCTCTTGCACACGAAAGCAATGAAAACTATAAACGCAAAACGAAAAGCCCGGGTCCAAGATATTATCCCCTTGTGAAGCAAGACAGAACGCAGCAAAAATTACTCTTGGAGCAATGTCATGTCTATGAACTGCTAACGGCTACATCAGTGCTGGGTGCTGAAGAAGGAAAACTACGATTTTTTTCCCCTGTCGATTCACTGCCGGGCATAACCTCGGTGTTAAACGACCGGAGAGTAAATTCTTACCATAACAGCTGAAGCTGCATTGCTAAAGACTTTAAATCCGACTTTGAGGACCAGAACAGGGTTGGACAGACTTCTGTCATGTTCAAACACAAAAAGCCTCAGGATGAAGCAGATTGTGTGTTTCTGTCCGGCTGGGGAGAAGTAGGGTGGCGTGATGAGGATGCCCCTGTAAACTTGAGGGGCGCAGCTGTTAAATCAAATATTTTCGTTGGTTACATTCAGAAAGTCCATTGGTTTTGATATTGGAAATGCGATCTGAAAATGTTTAACAGATTCTGGAATTCAAGTCCAACAGAACATTTAGTCATAGTGTAACTGTGCATCGTGAGACATTCAGCAAATGTTAATATTTACAAGACTTATCAATGAATCAATGTCACCATGGGAAGTTCGTTATGAGAAAGGACAGATATAGAAGCTGAAGTTTGAACGTTGGTGCGTAAACACGAGATGTAAGTCTGAATAATTTTGGATGAAACAATATTTAAATAAATATGTAAAATATACACAATTTTAGATTTCAACATTTACAGACACTGACCACTGCACATGTAGGAAGGTCATCCCACAACTGACATCCTTACCTTTCAAAGTTAACCTTTTGGCTTAATATGGACAGGTCTTCCAACCTCGCATCAAGTCCGTGGTTCGAATCCCATTGCGATACATCAAAAGCATATGGCCTCCACGGACGCATGCCACGTTTCGGGTGTCCACTTACCCATAATTATACAGAGAAAGAGATCTCTTGTCCAACCCTGCTCTGTTGTTGTGGACGGTGATGGAATGGATGATGATACCAGCCTGTCCAGGTACTGGAGATGAAGAGCGAACGCCAAGATGATACAACTCGCATGCTAATGATATACTGATGACGTAATCTAATAAGGCGTGGAAAGTTGTTTACATTATAAATCACTGGTTCGTCTGGACCTGGCGTTATTAGTACAATTTACTGCAGTGCAGTCAATAAAACTGACCGCACTTTTTAAAAGAATACTACGTTATTAAAGTTTAGGTCGTACCACACCTTCATATAGCTGGGATATGGTGCAATACATAACTCTTTCATAAAGAAACACGCCTGATGCCTTGCCCGCCATTCGCTTCACGCAGTTGAGTAACTGAACAGTTCAAAAGGTTTGCTGAAGGGTGGAATCTTAGCTTATTTTAGCCGTGCTTACAGTATACCGAAGCTGAAAAATCCGCATCACTTTCTACAGGAAGCTGATACAATGGCAATACTGTTCTCAGCAGCATCGCAACTCGCTCACTAACATCACAAAACATTATCACCAGTACGAAATAATTTTGTACACAAATAGAGGAAGGGCTGATGCAGTACGTTTCAATGTATGGCAAAACAATAAGGCGCTACCTGTACCTAAATTACCCATTACAGTAAGTTTATATGCTTCACGTTACGTTCAAAGGTAAGAAATAAAACTATGATCACATTATGAAACTTGAAAGAAGCACAATCGTCTCTAGGCTAGACAAATATATCTCTGAGACAAAACAACTTTCCATTTCTAGCAATGTTTGTACCGAAAACTCGAAAAAACCCGTAATTACGTGCACAAGGGAAGCCAAAAGAGAATTGTGGCGCCTGAGACGACCAGTCCACCCACGCCATCGGGAGTTTGTTTACGTGATGAAATGAGATTAGAAGATAAATAGTGGGTTTAATTATTCTGAAATGATACCCAGGAGCTATGAAATTCGTACCATTCTGAACGGACAAGGTTATTTTGACATCAGTTCCCAATGCTAGAATGGAAGGGAGTGGACTTCCATCTTTGGCTGTGACGTCCATATTGGCGGGGACAAGTTGGCTCGTCCCACGCTGGAAAGACGTGGCATCATTGCTGAAATGATAGAAGACAAACGAGAGAATTTACCCAAAGGCGAGTATGCTCAACCCAGTAAAATAAAAACATTGATTTCGGCCTTTGTCGTCCATACCGTCAGGATCATAATAAATTGCCACTAGCTAGTAGCAAGTATTAGTTTGACTATATACACCCAGGAACAGAAACATTACCACAGATTATGTGTCGGTTTGTTTGCTAGTTCACGCCGCATTAGGCAACTTTCCTGGTTTTTTGACGGCGGTCAGAGAATGATATCCATCCTCTTTTGTCGCCTGTTACGGCGCACATAGGTTGCAGAAAACCAAACAACAACCATAATTCTGATACCCACGGGAAGTTATACTTGCCACCAACCTACCTGTCCGACTGGCCTTCAACGCCGATGTTGTGGTTGACCTCGAGGGAGTTGTTGTTAAACTCACAGGTGAAGGTGACCTTCTCATCAGTGCACTGCCTGAGATCTCTGGTGTATTGCACAAACAACTGGAGTACATAGGAGGTCACGTTGCCCTGTGATAATACACAACACCAATAAGAAAGCGTGAATGAGACGCCCCATGTGTGTAGGAGATTGTGTGACGTACACAGTCATTTCATGCAGTATTCTAGCTAATGACGGCGAGCTGACAATCCAGTGATAGCTGTTGCTCCACCTGATGGCAAAAGTCACACCTAAATTAAAGTTGTTGCTGGAGAGAATGCAAAAGATGATCCAAGGGTTGGACATTGTGACATGAATTCAGGGAAAACATTATAGCAGTATAATTAGAATCAGTTCACATGTTTGCCCTGAAAGAAAGTTAATTACCGGGTAAGAAAACGTATATACTTATAAATATGATCGGATTTTACCAAAAATACTTTTTATTCGGGTGTCCAACATTATGAGACAAATCATCAGAGTTGGTCTGCCGATTTCATGTGACTGTGCCAAATTTGGTTTTGTTGCAATTATTCGATTTTGTGTTAGTAGGCAATTCATCGGTCTCAAATGAAATCAAACGGACTGTAGACTTGATTAATGAGGATGAAAAGAACAAAAACGAAACAAAAAATAAAACAATATATACCCGTCATCTGTGTGTCACGGGTACTCACTATTAATAAATGTGAATGTTTCAGGTATTACCATACTGAATATGAAAGTTTGTGCCCGCCGTCTGTATGGCACCATAAAAAGAACAAACGGAACTGCTTGTGCTGGTTTTCTAGGCGATCAGAATAACAAATGTAAATGTTTGTGCTAGTTTTCTCTACGTCACCATCGGACAAATGGCTATAACGTCACGAGAGAATACTCATCATAGAGAATGTCAAAAGAGAATACCCACACTAAAGGACGGTCCGAGTTCACCGCAGGTGCCGTTGTAGGGGATGACGGCGGCATATCCCTTGCACCAATCCACGATGCCGTCGCTAGGGTCGGCTACAGTCGGAGCCAGAGTTAAGTTGCATGCAGAGACGTTCTTGAAGTCGTGTACATATATGTCCCCGCAAAAAAGTGTCGATGGAGAAAGGTGTGATACAGACACTGAAGTTGGTAGGATGGCACTGGTGAAAATCTGAAAATAAATGGTAGAGAGGATTGGAAAGAGTGAGCAAGTGCCTTCAGTTTGATACCCCTCTGAACGGAATTCCAATTTCATCACATTAGCTAAACGTGTGAAGAAAGCCCGAAGTGAAGCACTTGTCAGATGTTTTACCAATTTAGTGAAACACACGAGCACGGGTATGATGGTGACAAACATGGAAACATACTCGGGGAGAACCGGGATTCGACCCAGGTCGGTGGGGTAGCCTAGTGATTAAAGCATTCGCGCGTCACGCCGAAGGCCCGGGGTTCGATTACCCACATGGGTACCATGTGTGAAATCATTTTGGGTGTCCTCCGCCGTGATATTGCTGGAATATTGCTACAAGTGGCATAAAACCAAACACACTCAACCCAGATTCAAAGGTTTCTTTGAATCCATAGGACGCAGCTCAGCAGGGCAAAAGACAGGGCTTTGATGACCCCACTGAAAGCTGTGTCAGCCAACCTCTTTATGTCACTTGGGAGAACAGTCGGATAGGATTAGTTTTTTGTTGACACCAGGAAATGTACTTGTCATGCTGGTTACCAACACTTATAAGACCGTTGAAGCCAAAGACGTCATAGAGAATACCCTGCAACATGTTCTAGTTTCGGATTACTGATGCAAATATTCATTGACAAAAGTAAACTAATAGGTAATGTATATACAAACACAAGTGTCGAATTTTGATGTGTTGAACTGACGGTTGTCTCGAACTGAAAACTCGATCACTGCTTATTCCTTATTCTAGTCAATATTTTGCGGTTGTGAAGAAGCTTGGATAACTCGAACACAACAGTGTTCGACTGATTCGATTTCCCGATGTAATTCTGCCCTTAGTAGACTTAACTTTAACCTAAACACATATCCCAACTAGCAATTTCACGCTGTCACAACGTTATGCTTTCGTTGTTACAACGTTATACTCCGGACTCCCATTTACGGTTTCACCAGGTTGTGCCCTGACGTTGTGATACGTCATTTTCACGTCGCCACAAGGTGAAAGTTATTTGATGCTAACGTATTTTACGTTGTCTTGACGTTCTAGTTAACGTTAATAGTTAAACAGTTTTCCCAGTAGTGAACAGTACACAAGAACAAAGCATAAATTCACCTCAATGTGTATTCGTCAATTTGCATGTTGTTTTGGTCGTGTGTTTTCTGAAGCTGTAGCTGAATAGTGAAGAAAGTAAGAATCTCAAAGTGAAAGGTTTTACAGAACACTCTATCGTAACACCAAGTTATATGACGTTGTGAGGAGCCGAAAGCAAAACGTTTCCTCAACGAAAATTTTCAACGTTGTGTTTACATTGTGACAACGTTGTGTCATGACGTTACCACTCTACATCCTTCCCACAGCGTTGTGTCATGACGTTACCAATCTACAACCTTCCCACAACGTTGTGTCATGACGTTACCAATCTACATCCTTCCCACAACGTTGTGTCATGACGTTACCAATCTACAACCTTCCCACAACGTTGTGTCATGACGTTACCAATCTACAACCTTCCCACAACGTTGTGTCATGACGTTACCAATCTACAACCTTCCCACAACGTTGTATCATGACGTTACCAGTCTACAACCTTCCCACAACGTTGTGTTATGACGTTACCAATGTACAACCTCCCCACAACGTTGTGTCATGACGTTACCAGTCTACATCCTTCCCACAACGTTGTGTCATGACGTTACCAATCTACAACCTCCCCACAACGTTGTGTCATGACGTTACCAATCTACAACCTTCCCACACGGTTGTCTTGATGTTACCAGTCTACATCCTCCCCAATACGTTGTGTCATGACGTTACCTATCTACAACCTTCCCACAACGTTGTGTCATGACGTTACCAATCTACATCCTTCCCACAGCGTTGTGTCATGACGTCACCAGTCTACAACCTTCCCACAACGTTGTGTCACGATGTTACCAATCTACAACCTTCCCACAACGTTGTGTCATGACGTTACCAATCTACAACCTTCCAACAACGTGGTGTCATGACGTCACGAGTCTACATCCTTCCCACAACGTTGTGTCATGACGTCACCAGTCTACATCCTTTCCACAACGTTGTATCATGACGTTACCAATCTACAACCTTCCCACAACAGTTTGTCATGACGTTACCAATCTACAACCGTCCCACAACGTTGTATCATGACGTTACCAATGTACATCCTTCCCACAGTGTTGTGTCATGACGTTACCAATCTACATCCTTCTCACAACGTTGTGTCATGGCGTCACCAGTCTACAACCTCCCGACAACGTTGTGTCATGACGTTACCAATCTACAACTGTCCCACAACGTTGTATCATGACGTTACCAATCTACATCCTTCCCACAGCGTTGTGTCATGACGTTACCAATCTACAATCTCTTTTGAGCAAATTCTGAAACTTACATTAATATTGAAAATCGTTTTTGGCATGATGTGCTAAAAGCATGGCACTTATTCTACAAAGAACACTATATTGACCCAAATAACATCAATGAAATTCTATCCCAACCATTATGGTTTAATCATAACTTCAAAATTGCATAAAGAACTGGGCGGATAAAGGGATTATAAATATTAGGGATATTTGTGAAGAAACTGGATTAATATCAATAGAATTTTTAAAAGAAAAATATGGTATCAAGTGTAAAATGATTGCAAGATACCAAACTTATAGATTTTTAGTATAGGTTTCTACAAGGTATTATTTATACAAAAAGAGATTTGCTTAAAATATAAAAGTTAATAACAGTTTGTGTTGTTTCTGCAATGATGTTATGAGAATGTTTGTCATGTGTACTGAGAATGTCAGAAGACACACTTTTTTGGAAAAACCTGCGAATTTGGCTTAACAAGCTATACACTCATCAATTACTATTATCAAAACAAATGGTTTGGTTTGGTACTCTACATCAAAAGTAGATTACCAAATCATATTATCCATGCTGCAAAAAGATACATTTACATATGCAGTATTAAGAATATGCATCCCAATATAACTTTATTCATAAATACACTGAAAGAAATATTCTTTGTGAAAAAATCATATCCCCCCCCCCTTTTAAAAAGGATTAATAAAATAAAATAAATAAATAAAATAGCAATATAATTAAATAAAACAGAAAATTTCAATCACAAATTGGGCCTTCTCTTCCCAGTGCTTGGATGACTTTTAAATTCACCCCAATATGTATCATCTTCCTCTTTCATTGGTTATGTATGTTTTATGTTTATCAATATAATATTGTTATAATACCTGAGCATCATTTACCTGCACATAAGGTATGTATCACAGTTTGGTATATATATGAAATTGTAATGGTAGTTAATATCACCGAAGCACTCGTATATTGTATTGTTTTGTTTTTAGTTTTTGGTTATGACTTACACCTCTTTGATACAACTACAGGAGGAAAAAAATCTGTTAAACACATCATCTAACGTTCATCAGGTGGTCACCTTATACTTCCATATTTCTAAAGAGGGTTTAAGAATCACAAATGGGATATGTTTTATTGAATATGCAAATAAAACATAATTTTTTCAGCTGCAATAAATCCCAAAGCAGATACTCAAAAAAGACTTACGAATATTTCTCACACCAAACATTCGTGTAACCTTACAGCCATACCTCTGGTGGAAATATAAAATCAATACGCTGAAAAAATGTATAACTGACCCCCAAAAGTCAGACTAAAATATTCCCAGAGATATGAAATATAAGCCCAATGTTAAAGATTAATGTTGATTAGTTATACAGATGTAAATATTATTGTTTTGAAACTCGAAGCGATTTATAATTATATTTCCTAAAAATGTTGGAAAGCACACGTACAGTCTTCAAAACAAGTCCGCAAGCAGATACACTCAATTTGACCCATGAGAACGATTATATAAACAAACGCACGTGTGTGTATTTGATTCTCTCACCGTCCCTGGCATTATTCTTATTGAAAACATCACATGAAGCAACACATTTCTGTTAGCTACGTTCTTTGTACTTTCAATAACCCGTGAAGATACGGGTTAGAATTGATATTCAGTAACCCATGCTTGTCGTAAGAGGCGACTGACGGGATCGGGTAGTCATGCTCGCTGACTGGGTTGACGTATCCAAATTGCGTAGATTGATGTTCATGCTGTTGATCCCTGGATTGTCTGGTCCAGATCCGATTATTTACAGACCGCCGCCATGTAGCTGGAATATTGCTGAGTGCGGCGTAAAACTAAACTCACTCAATCACTGTACTTTCAATATGACGATATATATTTTTCATGTTTTTTCAAACAATCACATATTGCCATAAACGATTAAAGTACTGGGGATTACTTTTATCAAAGCACAGCAGTCATTACACGCGTTCTGATTGGTTTGTCGTATTTTGTCGTACTTCATATAACATAATTATCTTGTTTACCATATTTAGTCTGATAGTTGCCTCACGAAAGATGGGGGCGGTGGGGTAGCCTAATTTAAAGCGTTGGCTCGTCACGCCGAAGACCCGGTTTTCCCACATGGGCATGTGTGAAGCCCATTTCTGGTCCCCGCCGTGATGTTGCTGGAATATTGCTAAATGCGGCGTAAAACCAAACTCAGTCAGTCACGAAAGATGCGTCATTTACCGTAGAAATCATACCGGAAGACAAATATATCATCAACTCACATGCAGGTTTGTCGCAAATGTCCCCTGCAAAACCTGGATCACAGATGCACGTGCCGTTCACACATGTTCCATTCACACACGCTGGACTGCAGGTGGTTGTTATCGCCGACGCTAGAACACACGCAAAAGGTCAAGGTCACAACACACACGTCATCATCGACTGTATTGCACAATCTGTGATGTGTACAGAGAAGTATATATAGGTAGACACAGCAATATGCAATACTGTGTCTATCAACAGTTTTCAGAAAAAAATAAATCTTTTTATGGCATGGTGTATTCTATCGTTAAATGATAAGATTGATAGTCTTGTGGATAGAACATATGATTGTTGGGCTAAGACCTGTGTTGGATCTATTGGTTGACAATGGGGGCAACGCCGATTGGAACTAGATGGAATATTGAATGCTTAAACACAAAGAGTCATCCTTATAGTACCTAATCATAAAATAGGCGAGGATTGCATGCCGCAATAAAACAATTGTGGGCATTTTTTAGGGTTTACCTATTCCAATGGTCGATCACAGATAAAGATACGTCATTTCGACGTACCTGTGGTGATGGATGTGATGCGTTTTGTATTTACGTGTAATCTGACTGATTAATGTTTTAATGTTTAATAATTTTAAAACATTACTTTCAATTCCACAGTTTACTCCCTCGAAACCAGAAGTACAGTTGCAGAAGCCAGTGTTGAGGTGGCAGCCGTCGTTGTTGCAGGTGCCATTGTTGAGGCAGGGTTGACTCTTACCCCTACCACAGTGGAAGGAATCTGGAGCTGATGTGACAATCACAAGACATTGGGATGTGAATATATTGATACAATGCAACGACTTTAAAGAGTGACTATTTGAACTGAACTAATTAGTATAAATCAGAATATCACTTAGAATAATAGCCAAAACAATTACCATTGGCATGTGAAAACACAATCCCTGAGGCAATCTGGGCTTACTCAAGCATTCTGGGCGAGTGCTGTTCTCACGTGCCTCACGTGTATTCTCAAGTGTCCAGGGGGTAATTTTTTTTGTTTTGTTTTTTCAAGTACTTAGTGTGTTTTGTTTTTTGTTTTTGTTTATTTGGAGTCAAGTTGGTAATATGAGAAGTGTAACACCTTGTCCCAAACACATATTTCTACAAAATCTTGCCATTTGAAACAGGCCAAACTGGCAATTTTATCGCAGGGTTCATACACAGTAACTAAGAAACTGACCATCGTTGTCGTTGATGGTGACGGTCACAGTGATGTTGTTGCTGATCTCTGCGCCGGTGATGAAAATAGTAAACGCTTCTGTGGGTTCCTCCAGCTGTGGCAAAATGTATTTTTCATGCGTTAGTTTGTTTTGAGGCATTGTGGCAAAAACATAAAGAACATGCAGTGTGACTGATGTTTCTGTGGTGGTCACAACCAAAGCCCTAGAAACTCTCAAGGGTCAAGCTGCCTTCACAGCTACCCATCCAACTGATACTCCTTACCTAATTTTGCCAGGTATATTGTCTCCATACAGGACCACAGTAACAATTATTTCCCTTTGGAAACCAATTCAAATCTCAATGACAATTTATGCTTGTTCACGTACCACTACAGCAACTACCGTGCTTTGGACAAGATTAATAGACACGAAGTCCCAGTGAAAATGTATGTTTTCACATACCACTACCACAATATCCTTTTGCTGCCCAAGACCAGTCACTTCCCACTCGCAATCGCCTAAATGTGATTCTTAAAGAAAATATTTGCATGAAATGTCGATTGTGCAATGAATTTACAGAGACTGTCCAACACCGTGTCAGTGGATACCCTTCCTTGGCACAAACAGCATATCTTAAACGACATGATGGCATGGTTCGTTGCTTTTACTACCGTCTTCGCCATGCCTATGGCTTTGACTCTGAGGTCCATCCATGGTACGACCCTGAACATGTCCAGGGCGTCATGGAAAATGTTGCTGTCAAACTTCTTTGGAATAGGCCCATATACAGCCTCAGGATAATTCCTGCCAACAAACCTGATCTTGTCCTTTTAGATAAAGCCAATGAATTTATTTATATCATTGAATTTTCTGTCCCTTTTGACAGCAGCGTGATTGGCAAGATTCAGGAAAAGCATGCTACATATGCGGACCTTGTCTTTGAAATATCTCGCTTGCATCCCAAGTACTCTGTCGTCAGACTCCCTGGGAGCACAGCCCTTCTGACACTCTGGGTAATGCAGAAGGCTTATTTTAAGAAGAGGATTCTTTCTAAAGTTATCATCTCCTTTAGAAAGGTTTAAATACGCACGAACTGTTAATGAATTATGTTTTATTTACATTTATAGCTAAAATGGATGTTATCATGAAACCGCCCCCTTGTTGTCAGAAATGAGCGGGCCGCTGCAAATGATAATGGCTCGCTGATGCCTTAACAACGGGCCATTATCAGTTCTGTTGTCAAATGTCGTCACAGCGGGTGCACGTGAGGGCGGCTTTGATGCACCGATTAGTGACAAAAGAAGATGGCGTCCGATTGTGTGGGTGTGGCTGTGTCGCTCATGAACCTATTGATTCGCGTTGGGTCGAAAAGGCCGAAACTGATGAAATTGATAGTGACTTAGATGAAGATGAACTTGATAAGCTTCAAATGGAAGGGAAATCAGCAAATACTCTAGAGCAGACATCCTGGGGTATCAAGGCATATACCGGTAAGTGTATGAAACGTTTGACTCTATCTTCGCAAGTTAGAACTCGTAGAAAAAGATCAATTGAATACAGTGAAAACAATTTATTTTTCCTTTAAACTGTTTTCCTGTTTATTTAATAGATTGCGTAACATCAATGTAGATTTCCAAAGCATAAACGCACTGGATCTTTAAAAAATCTGATAAAATTCTATGCTGAATACCGGACAAAGACGACTGAACTACCTACCCCCAGTACATTAAGATATCTAAGAACAGCCGTTCACTGGACCCTAAAAGACCCTCCTTTCTCTCGAAATATAAATATAATGGCTGACAAAGAATTGACAAGTGCAAACAGTGTGTTTGAATCTCGCCGCAAAGCATACTTAGTTCAGGGAGGAAGGTGTCTCCAACACAAGCCCTGCATTGAACAAGGTGACATGCAAAAACTGTCTAGTTATTTTTGGAGATTTTGAAAACATGGTTTGAAGTGTGTTTCTTTCTTGGGATATGGGGAGAAGTTTTACTAAATCTACACTTGAACTAAAGCGTGATGACGACAACAAGCACGATCTTTCCTTTCCTTTAGCTGGACAGACGAAGAACAGGCAAGGCACTAATCCATCTAACCAGGATTGTTTGGATATTCGAATCTACAAGAATCAGTTTCCAAGGATCCATTGAGCATGTATCTTTTCTGCTTGTCCAAACTCCATCCGGATTGTGATGCCTCTATCAATCACCTCGGAAGAGTTTCGAGAAATATGGCGTATGGAATAACAATTGGGCACTCTCGTGCAGAAGATATAGAAAAAGGCTGGGATGTCAAAGACGTACACTTGTCATTCCGTCAGGGCCTCCACCTTAACATACCTGTATCAGGCAGGTGTTGACATGAAGCAAGCCAAATTTTGGAACAACATCCAAATACATGTGGATGACTTAAGGTTCGTTTGACATTATGTCGAGTTTACCTGACATTCTGGCTCCAAATCCCTATCACCGGTATGCAGGTAATGTTGTCTTCCTTGCTGGTACAAGTGTCAGTAATTGCACAATAAACTACATCGTTGGACCTATTAAGAATGCTGAAAACTGGCCACAAAATGGCGGCTTTGTTGTCTGACATAGACCTAAAGAAGGCCAAGGCCATGGCATAGGCCAAGATCGAATGTCACCACGCTCCATAATGACGTCATAAATATTATTCCATGACCTAACAGTCTAACATTATTAACACAAATTTCATCCATTTTAGCTACAATAAGGGTAACGCTGCTTACCAGGGCATTACCATTTGCAGAAGCCCACGGTATTTTTTCAATTGAAGTTAATTGAAGAGCTAGGGCTTCTGTAAATGATAATGCCCTGATAAACAGCGTTACCTACCAGCGTTTGCACCAGCGTTACCCCTATATTACAAGACAACAATTACGTCCCTTTAGACCAGTTCAGATTGGCATGAACCCTTAATAAAAATCATATTTTGTTCACGTATCACTAGAACAATTACCTCCCCCTTTAGACCAGTTTAAATAGGCATGACATTTTGTAGAAAATGTTTTGTCAGCAGTGACACTCACCAAGTCATTGATGACAGAGGCCAGTGTAGTTGTTACGCTCATTACGTTTTCAGCAAATGTGATATTTAACCACAGTCCGAAATGTGCAAAGTCCGTCCCGGCATCGGCAGTACCAGCGATGATGTGCAACTGGAGTGTGAAGCTGTGGGTGGAGGTGTCGTTCCTCTCAAGTGTCAGAGTTATGTTGTTGGAAGCGTTCTCATTGATTGCAATGTCAGCAGGCTGCTTCAACTGTACCGGTGGACCTGCAGAAATAGTGTCTCTGGAGGATGAACATTGTGGGGAAGAGAGTAAGAACAGGTCACCAGTATTCTATTGCTTGTAGAGAATGTCGTCGCTATTTCTTGTTTCGAGTCTAGACCAGACAATCGTCTGATTGGCACCATGATCATCGATCTATGCAATGGGGATATGATTACAGGCATCACAACCAAACCACCAAACCTAACCATCAGATCCCGCTAATCGCATCTTACAACAAGTATAGGTTGCTCAGGACCAGTCGACCTTATTGGAGAGGGTCGTTAAATGCCGTGCCTTTCGGTTTAGTGACTGAGTGAGTGAGTTCGTATTTCACACTCAGCAATATTTCAGCTATATGGAGGCGGTGTGTAGTTAATCGAGTCTGGACCAGACAATCCAGTGATCAACAGCATAAACATCGATCTACACAATTGGAATACGATGACACGTGTGTTAACCAAGTCAGCGAGCCTGACCACCCGATACCGTTAGTTGCCTCTGACGACAAGCATGGGTTACTGAAGACCAATTCTAACCCGGATCTTCACGGGTGCCTTTCAGTGTAACTTGACGGCGTTGGAAATAACATTAACCAGCGGATTGTCTTGCCTACACTAAATTAGTTACATGTCGACGTGAAGTAGCCGGAATATTGCTCGCTGTGGCGTTAAACACCATTCACTCACTCTCATTTGTTTGATAAAAGTGAAATTAGATGCTTGTAACATCATATAATTGCATGATTAAAGCAAACAAACGTATGCAATATTTCTTCTCTTCGTACGGGTTTACGTATTGTTTGACGAATATGATTTTTATCAAGTAGATTCTTTGAGATATCACTGACGTTCATCGTCGATGATGGTGACTGTCACATTCATGTCAGGTTCACCCCGTATGAAGCTTGTTAGTTTGACCAGGAACGTCTCTCCAGGGTCGAGATCCTGAACAGAGAATATGTAAGGAAATTATCAAAGCAATGGATGATTACTATTACTCATAATTGTCAAATATCGGGGGAGATTTTGTCACCTGTTCTTACAGTAAAACAAAACATTTCTTCGTACATATTGGTTAAATCCCGATTAAAAACTAGTTTTAAGCAATACAATGTCACAAGAATATTTGTTTGTTGTTTACCGTTTTTCGAGAATGGCAGTGTAAAAACATGGCGCATGTTTAGAGGTATTAGTCGTTTCAAAGATTCAAAGAATACATCAACATGTTGCAAATCAAACAGGTAAAGCACGAGGAAGGTTTACATCATTCTTCCAGGGTTTATATAAAGACTAAAGACGACACTCTGTGAGTTTAAAACTGAAATAGTATTAGACAACATAAAAGTATTTAGGAACATCTAAAATTAGCTTTGTTAACATTTTTGCTTGTAAAGTAACATTTTTCCATTTTCTGTGTACACATAGCAATATCAGTCGCCAAAACGCAGCAACATTCAAGCGGTATTTCCACCCATTTCATATGTGGAATGATTCTATAGGGTATGAAGAGAGACTAGAATGCATGATATGATACACAAGTATCATATATGCCACGATTAACAGCTGAAGAGAGAGAAAGAGCCATTGGGGTGGAGCTGATGGGGTCGACATACAATGCTGCTGTCAACGCCCTTGGATGCCACGGTATCACGGTTCTAAGACTTATTCAGGGTTTCAGTCAGACTAGGTCACCGTAGACAGACCAAGAAGTGGACGTCCACGCATCACAACGCCAGCTGCAGATAGGTACCTCCGTCACTAAGGCAGGAGGGTAACGTTTCTTTTGGCGTTTAGTGTACGTTGAACAGCACATCAGATCAACACCACAGGCATACTAGAGCATTCATGGCCTTAACAGTTTTAAGTTAAATGCCCAAATGTGAAATATTAGTGACAAAAAATGCCTGATGTAATTCCCAGTTTTGACTGGAACCATATGTTTCCTTGATTGTTTCAGGTGCACATTTGACTTCGCATGCTTGTGACTAGTACCACGGATTATACGAAATAAGCTCTCCTTTTCGCGAACATTTGATATCATGACTATATTGATCATACTTAGTCTCGTCAAGCCGAAGCCCTGTGTTCTGTTTCCAACATGAGTAAAATGTGCGACGCCTATTTCTTTTCTGCCCCGACGTGATATTGCTGGACTATTGCTAAAAGAAGCGTAAAACCTAACCCACGTCCTCATTAAGATAAGAGAAAGGGTTGTGGTTGATTTTAAACGGAAAGTAAACTTACTGTGTCATCCAAAATGGTGATCGTAATGTTAAAGGTGTCTTGGTCAAATTGAACTTGCACTGGGGTTGCAGTGATTGCTGTGTAGTCGGATCCACTTGCTGTGTCGTCAGCCGTTGCGTACTTCAAAGAAGAACGATTCAGTCAGTAAGGTATTGATATTTTTAGGATGATGTACCTAACAGGTCATTTACTTGACCAGCAGATCAGTCAATGAACATTACATCACGAGTTAACTTTGGTCATTATAGGTTATAGCAGAAAGACAACATAACAATACATTGTGTAAAATGCGTTTTGATCCTGAGCACAAACCTACACACGTTCCTTTCATACAGCTTCATACCAACTAGGGCTTGAACAGGATAATTATTTATATGAATAGGAAGCTTCAGTCAATTCCAGTGCGTAAATGATCAGGGTCTTATGTCAATGTTATAATATGACACTTACGAAATAAGCTCTCCTTTTCTCGAACACCTGGTGTTAGCTCTTTCTGCCAATGCAGGCATTCGTTCTGACGTTTATATAAATAGGAAGCTTCAGTCAATCTCAGTGCGTGCATGATCAGGGTCCACTTGGGTCTTATGTCAATGTTATAATATGACACTTACGATCATATTAGCGCTAAGATTGCATGTGCAAATGGAAGCAGATGTGTATGTGAATAGTGTTTGGCCGGGGTACGGTCAAACATCCCATATCGGGCATTTTGTACCCAACCCAAGAGCCCTACAGCGGGTAGAGCTGGGTAAATGGGTATCGGATACAAGGTAGCAAATTTGGACTCGTTCCAGTCTTAATATCACCCCATTACATGAACATTTGGTTAATTTACATGAAAGTAATACACACTCACAGTGAAACCCCAAAGTCCAGCAGTCGGCAACATAGTGTTGTTAACAGTCAGGGTGATGGCGCCAGCGGTCTCGTCCACGTTTGCAGGGTCCGGTGTCACCACAATAGCACCTGACAGAAAGTTGGTTGTTAAACGCTGATACAAAATTGTACACCAAAAGTCACCATGTTCTTTAATCTGATTGGTTAAAAGACATGGTCAAATGGTATTCGATTCCCGGAATTTGCAAGACTATTCACTGCGTATTGACACGTACAACTATCTCACTCAATATGGTATTGTTGCTTCGTCAGCAGTGGTGACGTCATTCAAATCATATTGTGACGTAAATCCGGAATGACGTCACAAATGAGCAGTTCCAGATGCTACCATGGGAACCAGCTGAAACGGCCCGTTGATGGCACTACACTGCTGTACCCGTCCTCGATGTCATTGAGTGCAGATTGTAAAACCCATGTGGGCCTTTTGGTTTACGTTTGTGTTTACAATGTCGATAAACATCATGTGTTGGCCATTTTCTGGGTGTTATTGAGTATTTGAAGTACGGGAATATTTCATTTGAAACCTCCGGCTGAGGATAAACACATGATGTTTACTAGTATCTCCTAAATTAAATATACCTGAACGTCATTTACTTTTAAGAAATACACGTCAAGATTCAACGATGACATGTACATATGGCGATTGTGTGACAGACGAGTACACAAAGACTGAAGACATGGTGATTGTATGACAGACGAGTACACATGGACTGAAGACAGGGTAATATGGTGATTATGTGACAATCGAGTACCCATCGACTGGAAACATGGACATATGGTGATTGGGAGCACCTTTAGAATACAGCACCACAACTTCTCGTGAGGACGATCTCTGCCGTAGGTCACATGTCATTAAGGCAAGCAACCAGTTTGTGAGAACCCGTCGGACGCGAACCCGCGAAATTCGGATTGTTAGCTCTACAGCTAACTGACTGAGCTACGTCCACACTGTTGCACAATGTGCAAATTTATCGAGTCATTCCTGTGACGTCACGGAAATGAACGGAAAGAGTCGAATAGGTCACGGACAATTACGAATGCTACGGGTAGACTTGGTGACTCGTGATTTTATTCTTCGGACAATTGCTGAATGGATCCGATGCCATTTGGCACACTCGTCCCATTCCGTAATCTACAAATTAACGTGTGGCGTGGAATGAGCCGATATGCCTCAAGCTGAAAAGGGTTGTTGACGTCCGGCGTCAGACGTAGATTTCACGGTGCATGCATGAATTGCGCGCTTTTATATAAATCGGTGATTTTGTGACAGAAAAGTGATGTAGGGAACACTGTAAGGATAATGTGGATCGCACTAAGGAACGAGGGAGACATGAGCATGTGTAGTGACGGCACGAGGGTGAGTTAGCCTTCGAATCATTACTGAACAAAATTTATGTTGCGTGTGAAAGAGGCTTGAGTGGAAATTCCAGGCCAATTTCCAATAGCCCAAAATTTCTACATTAACCCATTTCAGAATGTACTTTCGACGTTTTTTGGTTTCCCGTTTTTGTGTGAAAAAAAAGTATTACAATGCAAAAAGGAAAAACAACAAATGGTACTCACGTATTACACCGGACATGTACCTGCTATATTGGATTAGGTCCCTAAACCTAACCCTAACCCTAAACCCTAAACCCTAAACCCTAAACCCTCAGCCCTAACCCCAACCCTAACCCTAACCCTAACCCCTTGAAATAATCCTAATAAATAGAATGCATTGACCGAACCACCGGACATGTACCTATTATATTGCATTAGGTCCCAAACCCCAACCCTAACCCTAAACCGTAAGCCCTAACTCTAACCCTAGTCCTTGCCCTAGCCCTAACCCTAACCCCAATCCCTTGAATTAATCCTAATAAATAGAATGCATTGACCAAACCGGCACAAACACGACTGACGTGTCTAGTGTAATGCATTATTACCACTTCGAAAAATAAAATACTAATAAAACACTTTTCTATGTAATGGTGCAAATTACTGAATGACAAAAATATATATGTAAATTAAAAAAATACAAAAATACAAAATACACAAAACATAACACCTCAGCAGCCCGTAATACAAATAAATATGAGCGTATTAGTGAAAAAAGAAAATATTTCAAACTGGTGCTTGCAAAATATTGCGCATCCGCCGGTAGACAACTACTGGAAACTCTTAACATCGTTGGGCTTATGCAATGACATAGCTCGTAGAGATGAAACACCAGTGAGCGGAGCTTATACGCACTCGCTGAGCCAGACAACCGTGTTGCCATGCAGGCGTCATAGGACATTGTTTCGAGAACGTGCTTTCGAACAAAATCACATTACATTACGTAAAAGGGTATTATGACGTATTTTTAAAGTTTGTGGTGCTGTATTCTAAAGGTAGACCGGTGATTGTGTGACAGACGAGTATACATGGACTGAAGACATGGTGATTGTGAGAAAGACGATCACACAAGGACTGAAGACATGGACGTATGGTGATTGTATGACAATCGAGTACACATGGATTGGAGACATGGACATATGGTGATTGTGTGACAATCGAAAACACATCAACTGTCGTTGAATAATTTATCTTTGATGTAAACCGAGTGACAAAGAAAGTATACCGAGTTAGTTGTATTATTTTTGTTCATTTTGAAATTGAAAAATATAACCTTTATTGTATTTGATGTCACTCACTCCTGCAATAGTTTGAATTATTATCAATTTGCAACTCCTTCCAAGTTTAAAATCAATTATTTCTAAGAGTAATCTTTTCTAAATACAGTTTACTTGCAGCCCAAAACAATGACTGCACATTCCCCAGACAAGTCCCAAACGGAATACCTCTCGGATGTCACGTTTAATTAACAGCGCCTACAAAACGTCATTATCCAGGCACCCGACAAGAACTGGTCTCAATACTGGCCTTCGGGAGACGTGATTTTGTAAACACTATCCAATATGGCGGAAAGCGCACTTCGGCGTTCGTGTAAGTATGTTTTCGAAAACATCCCAACCGTTTCATCGGCAGCGTTTCATTAGTTATCATTAGTGAAATCATGAAAAATTGATTTCAGTGATCATTAATATGTATTTTTGAAATTCAATATTATTCGATTTTCACATTTTAAAAAATATACTGTACAGCAAATAATGCTGGGAATCGTGATTTCGTATTGTATATAAAATTGCGACATTTACGATGAAGCCTATTTTGAAAGGTTATTTTAATCACTTAAGCTTTGTCTGAGATTTTAGTGGATGGTATCAGGAAACAGGGAAATTCCGGCAGAATACAAAACTGTGAAGTATATTTGTGTGCGTGATAAATTTAGAATTTTATTGGACTTCAAAGTGAGAGTTGAAGAGGAAGGACATATGTCCCTGTGGCACCCATGTGTTTTTAATCAAGTCCAGATACCCGGCCAGAGCAAGAGTGCTGTCGCGGAGTATTCTTGTCACACTAGCTCTGGAAACTCCATGGAGATCCCCGATTTTACTGAGGAAAGCCCCTTTTGCCAAATACCTCAGTGTACTCAGCACTTGCAGGGAGATTGGAATAGCATGTGAACGCCTTGTAGGTTTGTTCAGTTGGGGCTCTAACTTTCTGCACAGTTAGAAAACAACATGCCTAGGAAATCTATATCTCGACATCATGTCAACATCATCCAGAGTGTCGAGCACGTTCGACCTGCATCAAAATTTCTCAGGTCTTCTTTGTTAGCGCGTTTTAATCACTTGCAGTGCCATGATCGTTGACGCCATCTTTGTAGTGTTTACAACCTCCTAAAGCATTTACGACAGGTCAATCGGGGTCCTAAATTTTGGGCTGTTTACGGCACAGTGTAAATATACGAGGTCTGTGTGAAACGGGGTAAAACAATACGAGGTGGTCTATGACCTGCGTTACGAGGTCGTACCGGTAAAAGCGCTTTGTCAAACGGGCTCCAGCAGGTCCTTGAAAAAGAATGGCGACGTTTACCACGTGACGTCATCAGACGACTGGCGTTTTTGTGCGTCGTAGATATTTTGCATGTATTGTAGCAGGAGGTGGTGAAACACGATAGTTATGTGACCCTGTTCATAATTCATTGACCTTGAGCGATTTTAGGTGTGTGGGTGTATGTGCATGCGTGCGTGCGTGTGTGTGCGCGCGTGTGTGCGTGCGGGAGTGCGCGCGCGCGCCTTTCACCCAGTGTCGTTTGTCTGCCAAACACATTCCTTTGGATAGAAAAGGCAAATTAGT